CCTCCAATTCCCAATGGCCACATAACAGATAGATGTGGTTTTTCTGGATTGGTGAACATTGTGTTTCTTGGAACTCCAGACCAATGAGCTCACAACTAATAACAGTGGAGTTGAGGAAAATATGGGACAACTTTAAAAACCCAACACCATCAGGAAACAGGACAACAAAATAAAACTGATGTGCATTGGGATAAGAGTTGACAAATAAAAAAACCTGATGTGCATTGGGAAGCAAGTTGACAAATAAAAAACCTGATGCACATTGGGAAGCAAGTCGACAAATAACAAACCTGATGTGCATTGGGAAGATCTCAAAGCTCTCCAGACCACATGAAATTTCACCACCTGTTTCCTGTCCCTCCAATTAGAATTTAATGCAGACAGCTTTTTTGTAGACCTACACTACCTATAAAACGTCAAACAACCTGTTGTGATCATTTTGTTGTACCACTCACATTCAACACACACTTCCTTTCAATGTCTTCTTGCCAAGCTGCCTCTGGCCTTCCCAACTTCTCAGCCATGTCAGCCACCAAGCTTCTAGCAAGCTCCCATAATGCCCTAGTGAAGGTGCACCAGCAACCCAACACCAAGGTTATCACCAAGGCATACATCAACAGGTTGCTGCAGGCGCAGGGCCAAGACACTGGCTCCACAAAGCAGCAGTCTCTCAAACTGCTAACACAGTGTACGCCAACAATAGCAGAGGAGGGAGCAAAAGAGCTGATGGACGTGGAAGAGGAGGAGGAGGAGAGGAAGGAAAAGGAGGCAGAGGAGGAGGAAGAGCAGGAGAAGGAGCTGGAGGAGGAGGAGGAGAAGCAGGGGGAGGAGCAGAAGGAGGAGGAGAAGGGGGTGGAGCTGGAGGAGGACATAGTGGAGGAGGAGAAAGAGGAGGAGAAGGGAGAGGAAGTGCTGGAGGAGGAGTGGGAGGAGGAGTTGGAGGTGGAGGAGCTGGAGGAGGAGGAGCACCAAGCGCCACCAAGGAAGTGCAAGCTGGTAGAGGAAGAGCACAAGGAGAGGAAATGTGCATGCCCAGAGGTGATTGACGTGGACAAGGAGATGGAGGCGGAGGAGATCAAGACCAAGCCTCACAAGCAGCCAGTGGTGTGCCAGTACTCTGCAGGCAACACCAAAGAGCAATGCAAGGAGGCTGCCAGACTACTTGCCCTGCCTGACCTGGAGCTAGGTATGTACACTTTGTGTGTTTTTACTGTTCACCACACTGACAAGTTCCAAACTGATGCACATTGGTTTTTTTATTTGTGGACTCTTTTCCCAATGTGCATTGGGTTTTTTTATTTGTTGACTCTTTTCCTGATGTGCATTGGGTTTTTATTTGTTGACTCTTTTCCCTGATGTGCATTGGTTTTTTATTTGACCTGTGAGAACCATGTTCTCTAACAGTTTGTGTTGCTGACCTCAACCTTACTATGCAAAAATAAAAATTCATACACTCCCAAATTTCCAATCACTTCAGTCCAACCCCAACATCATCAGTGCCAGCCTTCAGGTGACCCACAACAACCAAGCAATTCACCAGCAGAAGGAGCAGCTCAATTGCATAGACCCTTCAACTTTGCACTGTACCTGGGTTCAACCCACATCACACCACATTGATGTTCAGAACTGCACCATCTTTGGTACAACTCCTCTTTTCATTCTGGCAATGTGTAGATGCTTTCACTTGCTAACCACCTGCACTGCCATCAGAACAGCATCGCCCAGTGACAGTTCCAGGAATTTGTCACTTGCTGCAGTCTGTTGTTGATGGAGGGTGTCTCACAACCAAGCCCTTCATTGTTAGATTTCTAAATGAAGATGAGCGCCTTGACCAAAACAACATCAATGAGTTTGGTATTACTTCCCACACCACTTCATTTTAGCTGCACTCATGGCCATTCAGTTTTTAGGCTATTCACAATTCCCAATGCACATCAGTTTTTTTGGGTACTAACTTTTAACCTTCCAGAGGCCATCAATTGTAACCACAGAGTTGTGGTCTGGAACCTCATCAAGCAGCAGTGGGAGAATGTCTACTAAGTTGTGCCAGCAGCTGCAGGGATGGAACTCAGCTGGATCATCCTCAACCACATCTCCAGCTTCAAGAACTACATCAACTCAGCAGGCTCAGTTGTCCTGAATGCTTTCAAGAAGGCCCTGAACTACTACACCCTCAGCCAAAACCCACTCTTCCAGATCACACATGGCAAAAAAACTGTTACCAACTACAATGCTCTTGCTGAGCACCTGGTATGTCCACCACCTTTGTATTTCAAACCATTACTCATCACCCCACACCTCACAGAAAAAGCTCAAGGGTCATGCTGCACCAAAGCCCACCACTCTGCAGAAGTACTTGGCTACCTTAAGGGCCCTGTTCCATGCTCCAGGAGTGGTGGAGTATGTTATTTCTACTCTAACTCTTCACCTTTGTTTTGAGTCCT